TCGTTATTTCGTTCATTTTCGTTGACGATAATAGCCTTGGTACACATGTAGGTGAAATACTGATGAATGTATAGCAATACCCTCTTTTCATGCTCGAGCTGTTCAATTTCAAGCTTCAGTTATTTTATTTGGAGTTGTTTCCTCCTGCAGTCCAGCTCGAGCATGCGCTTGTAAAGGGAACGCACATTGTCTGTTCTAGCCTACACAGGGGAAAAAAAACCCATAAAAAGGTGAAGCAGTGCGCATGCAGCTTATCAACCCGAAGAGTCAAAGACAAAGCAAAAGTGCACTTTCTGTATGGGAGGTCCGAGTGGAGGAAGCCGCAGGAGGGGAAGGGGGTTGATGCAATTTCTCCTAAGAGAGAATAATGCAAATGACAACTTAAGGACAGTCGATTCACAGAATCTGTGCAGAGGTCTAAATGCCATGCTATACTGTATTATCCTGGGGGAATCATACATGTGATGCAATGCTTCTATCTGGATGTGTGTGTCAGACAATGCTGAGAAAGTGTCCTCACCCAAGTCCTCCTGAACAATAAAGGAATACATAGGTAAAGATGCATCAACATTAGGCAAACCTAGTCATTTCTGCATTTATCTGTACCTGAGGATCACAGGAGGTGCTGGGCTCTGCGGGTGGCCTCCACTGCACATAACAGATGAATTTGAAGTCCATGATTGCACAAATTACCACACTGTACAATGTTATTGCAATATTACCCTGCACATAAAGGGTGCACATATCTGAGGCACCAGGGTCTGAACGGACACCTCCCTCAAACCCCTCCATAATGGGTCATCCTATATTGTTGACTACTGTCAATTCTTCAGCACAAGTGAAGGCTTCCGGAGGTGGCCCTCCACCCGTTGCCTTTACAGACAGCTTTTTTTATTAGCTGTGACACATAGAAACACTATTAACTGGAGGCTACACACAAATCTTTCATAATGACTAGAAAAGCATACACCTACCACTTGTCATGATGTTTTTATATTTCATCTTGACTGGCTGCCTCGTGCGCTATTAGTTCATGTGGAATCGTATCAGTTAAGTTATTACCATTAGGTTTACATTCTGAGTAACATCACAGTAACGGAACTTTAGGGAGCATTACATTACTTAACAGCAAATAATAGGCTTACTTCTGAGTTGTGTTGCATCTGTGAGCCTCTGTATTTCTTAACAGTATTTCAATTCTTTTCAGACAACACTTCATAGTCGAATAATCGGTAGTGAGATATTTTAGACAAAGAATTAATGATCATAAAAATGTACTTACGCATTTACGCGGTCGGCAATTCGTTGCCAACAAGCCTGCCTGCTTTTGTTGGCTGCAGAGGTGTTAGACTTCCCTTGCAGCGTTGCTTTGAACTCCTCGTAACCCTGCATGATTATCATGCAGTCGTCCTTGGTAAAGTATGGCGATCGCGCCATGAGTCAAAAGGTGACTTGCGCTGCCAAACGTGTTCCATTTATGTGAACGCGCACAAGCTCCAATTAAGTTAACACTGATGTAACAAATCAACTTCTTAACTGGCGTTGTAGTACTTATTAGCCCCGACTGAGACAATCTGATTTTGCCAACCGTGCGTTCGCAAATTACCTCCGGGTTAAGTCTGATTTGGTTAAACCCCCTTCGTAGTACAGGCCACTGCTTCATGGAAGGAGGCGAAGGCGCAGCCACAGCCAGAAAGGGCGCAGGCGACTGAGAAGTCGGAGGCTGGACAACCACAGGAGATCGACGAGGCATCAGAGGAGGGTCCGGGGATCTGGGACGGGGGCCAGGGGCACGGGAGCAGGGTCCAGGGGATCAGGGGCATGGACTGGAGCAGGAACTTTGGAGGGCGGATCAGGAACTGCTGGCACAGGAACCTCGGGGGGCGGAGCTGGGATTTGCACCTCGGTAGCGAGTGTCGCCCAATTAGGGAAGAATCAGGAGGGGTTCCTCCCAACTCCCTGCAGGGGAGGCAGCAGAAACCGAGTCGGCTCCCAAGAGGATCTCCGGTGCATCCTCCCATATACGGCTTTTCCGCCTCTTTTTCTTGTCTCCTTTCTCCGGCAGAGCTTGGGGTACCTCTATCAATTGTGCCAGAGAACCGTATAGACCACAGTCTGTGGCTACCTGCTTCATGTTGGCTTCAGCCACCCCATGTCTCAGCCGCCGCAGGTTCACTCTCACCTCTTCCACAAGGTGAGAGTCTTCTGATAGGGACATCCCCTTGATGATATCCCTCGTCTGGAATGTGAGTGCTCAAGCCACGGGGTTGTTCCTGACCTTGGGCTAATCGAGCCAGTAGCTTGCCTCATTAGTCAGACCAAGGTATTACTCTTTGGTCAGGGAAGCCCAGTCATTCTGTCCTGACTGTGCTCGGGCACGGACCAGGGATGCAACACAGGAGCTGGGAAATCGGGCGAATGAAGGAGTTTAATTATAAAACAACAAGAAACATGACACACCATGAAAAGGACGGACGTTAGACTTCAATGACTGGACTGGGGAAAACATATAATTATACTGGACTGAGAGATGCTAATATACTTGGCTACTGAGGAGAAATCGATGCAGCTGTGAATGATCCACAGGAGGGCTGGAACAAAAGGTAAGACTGACAGGCCATAGGCATGGCTGATTTGGAGTCACACCCAAGGGGAAACACGGGGATCAGACAAATGGAGTGGGCTGGACGTGACACATGTGGTAATGCTGCATCATGTGTTTTAAATCTATTACACACTTTATATTGAACTAAAGCTTGACTTTAAAAAAATATCACAAATCAAATTGCAATCACAATATCAGTCAGAAAAGTCGCGCTTACATATTTTCCCCAAATTATTCAGCCCAACCTTTATATATGTATCACAATTGAAGCCAATTAAGGATCACTATTGAATTCCCAAAGGCTTAATTATGTTTAAACTCCACTTTAGGTCATAAAACTAGCAGAAGGTTTTAAAAACAGCAATTTTATATAGGGGTTGAATAATTGTGACATGGCTGTATTAATAAAATATCCTGTTACTCACAAATACTACATCATGCATTAAATTTGTTGATTTTATGTTTAACTCAACTGATAAAAAAGTCAAAAGCAAAACTAAACTCCCTTTAGTAAATCCTTACAATCCTTGGTGGTTGAACATTTCTGATTGCAACTATAGCATTAGTGATGTGTGTAATAGTGTAGTTAATAGTAGTACTAAAGAAATGAAATACCGAACAGCTGTCAAAAATGCAGTACCACGGTACCTTTTGCGTACCATTTACCTATGTAACACTAGTCTGCACAAACTCTGAGATACTCGGCAAAATGTGGGACAGCAAGAATAAATAAAAATCACTGCATTGAATACTTGATAAATTTGTGTTTAGCATCATGTGCACTACGACTCCAAATAAGTCACAAAATAATGACATTAATCATGAATTCCATTCTGCTACAATAGCGCTTTCTTTCCTATGTTTTCTTCAACACAAAAAATTGCAAGGTAGATGACAAAAGTGGACTTGGGCCAGAATGGTCAAGTCCAATATGATGAGATCAGACCAGTGGGGAAGAGGGGAGAAGGAGCAGTCATGCTCAGGCACAGTACAAGGCATCCAGGCCAAGGGTGAGTACACCCTAAGAGTGTCATTAAGGTTTTAAGGGTCTATGTTATGTGCTGGTTTTCTAGTAGGTAGGCCCTTTGTTAAGCTTACTAAAATGTTTTTAATCAGCCTGAGATCAAGGTATATAGAGTTTATGATCCATTGTGTTAGTACAGGGCTGTCTCTTAGACTTTGGAAATGTTATAACTTGAAGAATTCTGTCCTCCAGACAACCCATTGTGGCTGGAGGGCCTGTCGAAGTGGTTCATTGCTTTCGTAAGAGCCTCCGGTGCCAACCCAGTAATATAGCCAAGAAACAGACTCGAGACACTTGCCAGAAATCAAAGTTAGGGATAGGTGTGGCAGACTAGACCAAGCAGGCACACGCTTGCTGTGTATGTCATTGTGTAACCGCAGACCAGTCAGAGTGCCCATGCTGTTGTTTACCTGAGGAAGAGATGGCACCAGTCACTATGGGAAGAAGGAAAGTGGGTGGAGGCAGTATGATGCTTTGGGAAACGTTCTGCTGGGAAATCTTGGGTTCTGGCATTCACATGAATGGATGTACCACTTACCTAAACATTGTTGCAGACCAAGTACACCACTTCATGGCAATGGTTTTCCTCAATAGTATTGGCTATTGTTGTAGTACTCGAGATCAGTCTTGGTCTCCAAATAATGGAGACCACAGTGCTTTTTGGGACCTTCAATGCTGCTGAAATTTTTTCATATCCTTCCTCAGATTTGTGCCTTGCCACAATCCAGTCTCGGAGGTCTACAGACAATTCCCTGGATTTCATTACTTGGTTTCTGCTCTGATATGCACTGTAAATTGTGAGACCTTATATAGACAAGAGTGTGCCATTCCAAATCATGCTCCATAAACTGAATTTACTACAGATGGACTCCAATCAAGTTGTGAAAGCATCTCAAGGATGATCAGTGGAAATTGCATGCACCCAAGTTCAATTTTGAGTGTATTAGTGAATAATTATGTGCCTATTATGTTTAAAGGTTTACATTTTTTATAAATTTAATAAAATGTCTGAAAACACATTTTCACTTTGCCATTATGGACCATTTTGTGTAGATTTTTAAAAAGAAAACTACTCAAATCTATTTTAAAATAAGTTTGTAACATTAAAAAATGTGGAAAAAGTGAAGGGGTGTGAATGCTTTCTGGTGGCACTGTACAGTATACAAAGATGACATGACTGCATATAACAGTAATATGTCCAGCAAAAAAAGGATTACTTCTTCAAGATTATTACAGAGAAGGCTGGTAACTGTAGATTATTATTCTCCACTATTGACACTGTTCAAATCCCGACAAAGTGCTCTGCATCAAAATGTGAAGAATTTGCTGCGTTCTTTCATAACTAGCATCAATTAGATCCAGTATTGCAACTAATGTTAACACAGATGATCACAGCAAACCCCAGAAAAAAGACGCAGCCATGTATTTCACCTGTATTACACTAACTGAGCTTCACAAGACCATCACTGAGTGTAGTTTTTTCACCTCATGTATCGAACCTGTACCAACAGCATTTTTAAATCTGGTCACGTGACCGCCATGTCATTGTTCAAAAAAAAAAAAACTATAAAAAACCCCAGAAAAATTGGTGCGTGTTGGGTGTTTGTGGCGTGAGTTTGAGCGAGTAGTTTGGTAATTATTATTATTTGAATTACTGAAACAGGTTAGCAGTTAGTGTGATTTAGGCATTTGTACACTCACCTAAAGGATTATTAGGAACACCATACTAATACGGTGTTTGAC